ACCACCACCACCACCACCACCACCACCACCACCACCACCACCACCACCACCATCACCACCATCACCACCATCACCACCACCACCACCACCACCACCACCACCACCACCACCACCACCACCACCACCACCACCACCACCATTACTACTACTACTACTACTAGAATCCCCCTTTTCAACCTTCTTCTTAATAAGAATTATCCTCTCTAAACCCCCTGAAACATCACAAACGAAAATCCAACAATTCTATACCACCTCATAATCGATTATCGCTACTATCCTGTTGGCATTAAGTTAAGTTTAGTTGAAAACGATTTGGTGTGAAGTGGCGCTTGGCCTGATGTGATTACCTACCTGTCACTGATCCAATTCAATTGTTACTCTACTTAATCGTACTATATCAGGTCGTAGCTGTGGTCTGGTCAGTTATAATAGGATTTGCCGTGCTCGCGCATCCCCCGCGACCTCAAAAGCGTTCTTGAGCGCTAGAATTTCTTGAAGCCCTTAGCCTATTCGATCTTTTACATTATTTATGCTATTATTATTACTTGCGGACATTCCTTTAGGCCCTGTTATGCGAGCTAAAATCTACGACAAATTGCTAACTATCTGTTCTGTAATGCTCCTCTTGCTACCGCTGCACAGAATAATGATCACTGCACTTCATAACCGTAATAATGGTGAAGGCTACTGACATATAGCTCTATGGTACAGATGCCAGTTACCACTACATCATACAAGGATGTCATTATTTGGAAACTAACACGTGTTCCTTATTCTTAACTACTTTTTTTTGGTGAAATTAAACGGGGACCGGATGTCGGGAGTCGTGGAGTAGGACGAGGGTTTTTCGGGGGAATTACTTCGAGCCCAATTCGAATCAAATTAGGAAACAGTACATCAACTCAACCACAAATGATAGACTTTTTTTTTCTTTGATTTTGCATCTATGAAATAGTCAAATCGTTGATTGCTATTGCGCCAATCACTCGTTGAGACTTCTCGCTGACATGTACGCCTGAAACTTGTTGCTCTATCTTAACATGGCATACACCGACAGGTTGTCAACCAAGCAGACGGAGAGTAGAAAATATGATCATTTTTTTTAACACTAATCGTTGCTAATGAGTTGAACACGAGCAGTATTTTTATACGTTGGTGTATACCAAAACGCAATATAGGGATCGTAAAGGTAAGAGAAAGTGAGAGGACAGCTATATATACGCTGTTAATGTGAGTGAGGACTCAATACATACACATACTGTTTTTTGTATTTCCTATAGCTTGAGGCAGTCAGAGTTGGCTGCTCTGTTCGAAATGTGCCGAGTATTCACCACATATATTGGCACCCGTTGTGCTTGAGCTACTAAAACCAAAGATTTATCTGTACATTCCGTGTTGTTCTCGAGAAAGCATTTGAAGTCTTCGAGATATATCTATATAAGAATATATATAATATATATTGAAAGAACGGATGCTAAGAACGCGCTTTCGGTGACCACTACTTAAGTACCCTTACAATCGTACGATGAACAAAGCTACCCTGAAATATATATATAATTGAGAGAAAAGGAAGAGTGTCCGTATATGGGCCGTTTTGGTAAAGTAGCAATAGTAGCTACTGAATGTCATATATCAAAATATTAATATAAATATCTATATATATATAGATATTTATATTAATATTTTGATATATGACATTCAGTAGCTACTATTGCTACTTTACCAAAACGGCCCATATACGGACACTCTTCCTTTTCTCTCAATTATATATATATTTCAGGGTAGCTTTGTTCATCGTACGATTGTAAGGGTACTTAAGTAGTGGTCACCGAAAGCGCGTTCTTAGCATCCGTTCTTTCAATATATATTATATATATTCTTATATAGATATATCTCGAAGACTTCAAATGCTTTCTCGAGAACAACACGGAATGTACAGATAAATCTTTGGTTTTAGTAGCTCAAGCACAACGGGTGCCAATATATGTGGTGAATACTCGGCACATTTCGAACAGAGCAGCCAACTCTGACTGCCTCAAGCTATAGGAAATACAAAAAACAGTATGTGTATGTATTGAGTCCTCACTCACATTAACAGCGTATATATAGCTGTCCTCTCACTTTCTCTTACCTTTACGATCCCTATATTGCGTTTTGGTATACACCAACGTATAAAAATACTGCTCGTGTTCAACTCATTAGCAACGATTAGTGTTAAAAAAAATGATCATATTTTCTACTCTCCGTCTGCTTGGTTGACAACCTGTCGGTGTATGCCATGTTAAGATAGAGCAACAAGTTTCAGGCGTACATGTCAGCGAGAAGTCTCAACGAGTGATTGGCGCAATAGCAATCAACGATTTGACTATTTCATAGATGCAAAATCAAAGAAAAAAAAAGTCTATCATTTGTGGTTGAGTTGATGTACTGTTTCCTAATTTGATTCGAATTGGGCTCGAAGTAATTCCCCCGAAAAACCCTCGTCCTACTCCACGACTCCCGACATCCGGTCCCCGTTTAATTTCACCAAAAAAAAGTAGTTAAGAATAAGGAACACGTGTTAGTTTCCAAATAATGACATCCTTGTATGATGTAGTGGTAACTGGCATCTGTACCATAGAGCTATATGTCAGTAGCCTTCACCATTATTACGGTTATGAAGTGCAGTGATCATTATTCTGTGCAGCGGTAGCAAGAGGAGCATTACAGAACAGATAGTTAGCAATTTGTCGTAGATTTTAGCTCGCATAACAGGGCCTAAAGGAATGTCCGCAAGTAATAATAATAGCATAAATAATGTAAAAGATCGAATAGGCTAAGGGCTTCAAGAAATTCTAGCGCTCAAGAACGCTTTTGAGGTCGCGGGGGATGCGCGAGCACGGCAAATCCTATTATAACTGACCAGACCACAGCTACGACCTGATATAGTACGATTAAGTAGAGTAACAATT